CCCCATCTCTCTCTCTCCCTCTGTTTCTGTCTCTCTCTGTGTCTCAGCATCTCTGGTGACTCCCCGCTGCCTCTGCCCCTCCAAGTCTCTGCCTGCATCCAGCCTACCCCATCTCCCCTGAAGACCTCTTTGCTGTGAAGGCTCCCAGGGCCTCCAGGGCTGTGAGGAAGGGTTCTGGCCCCCTGGGTTCTGACCTCAGCCCACAAGCACAGTCTTTGGGAAGGAAAGAGTCAGAACCTCCGCAGTTGTCCAGCATCTGATCAGCATGAGCAGTGTGATGCTTTCTGAAACACGTTTCTTCTTTAGCCTTTCAGGTTGCCCAAGAGCAAAGAAGAGCGGCATCAGGATAGCTCAGAGCAAGGAGGACAAGGATGACCAAGAGCCCATCAGGTAGGGGCCAGGCTGGCCAGGGAGCACGTGCTCATCAGCAGGAAAGAGACTCTGTCTCAGTGGGCATCTCGGAGCTCTCAGTAGACTAAGGGCAGCCAGCATCCCAAACCAGAGCTCTTCTGCTCACTGGCCAACAAGCTGCCGGTGCTGTCCAGCAATGAGTGGTGACGATTCCCTGATGTTCTGAGTGGGAGAATCACAAACCCCCCCCTCTTCTCCTGGTGGAAAAAGCAACTAAGGGTTCCCTCAGCCACAACCCCACAGAGAAAGCTTTACTGATGCTCTCTTATGAACACCGCTCAGTTCTAAGGCAGGACTCGAAGCCAGGGCTGACCCAGCCCCAGCCCGAGGGCACCAACCTGCGGCTGCACAGAGTGTGTATGCTGGGGTGCTGAGGCCTCAGTGCCCACACAGGACACCTGGCACAGCCTCCTGGAATTTACTGTCACTCAACGTCTTTGGGGAAAAATTTTAATTAAAACAAAATAAAAATGAATTAAAGGATAAATTGTAACAGCAAATTATGATTTATCAAAATAAAATACACATGCAAATTCTGCAGAAAGTGCTGTCAGAACTTCCTGGCTCTGTGTCTGGGTCCTGCAGCCAGACTGAAGGCAGGAGTTTGGTTACGCAGCACCTGGGAGCCAGGGTCCACTTCAGCTCCACAACAGTCCCCCTGGGGACTCTGTGGCCCTTCTCTGTGGCCCCTCTATGTGCCCCTCTCTATGCTCCCTGTCTCTGACTCCCTCTGTGTGCCCCTCTCTATGCTCCCTGTCTCTGACCCCCTCTGTGTGCCCCTTCTCTGCACCGTCTGCACCTCGTCTCTGCCTCCCTTCCTTGTACCTTGTCTATGCACCCCCTTGTCTGCCCCCCTTCTCTGCACTCCATCTCTGCCTCCCTTGTCTGTGCCCTGTCTATGCACCCCTTTTTGCCTCCCATTTCTGTGCCCCGCTGTTCCAGGGGCCTCAATATGGCTTAAAAACTTACCAGCTGAAAGGGCATTTTCTGGCTTCCAGAGAACACAAGCAAACGAATCAATGTCCTCTCACTCTGGAGAAGAACATGAGAAAGCCTCTAAGCATAACCCCGATATCTCCCTGATGAAACTGTGATTCTGCTCCAAGCAGTGTCTGCTAGACATCTGTGTGCCAGTGGCTGCCAGTCTCATTGGGTCTCTGTGACCCACAGGGCTGGTCCTTGCCCAGGTCCTTGCAGAACTGCCTTCCACGAGCTCTGGAAGGGCTGTTGCCAGGCAGAGTCATTGGTGCTCCAGCTGGTGGCACCCCTCCTTGGTTTCCCTCCCCACTCCCTCCCTCCTTCACCCCTCTCTCTCCCTCCTATAGCCCTCCCTCTCTCTCCTCCCTCCTTCTCTCTCCTACTCTCCCTCCCTCCATCCCTCCCTCTTTCTCTCCTCCCTCTCTCCCTCTTCTCCCTCCCTTCTCCCTCTCTCCCTCCCTTTCCTACCTCCCTATCCTTCCTCCCTTCCTCACTCCTCTCTGTCTTCCTCCCTTCCCCCTCCCTCCCTCTGTCCTCTCTCCCTCCCTCCCTCTTTCTCCTCCCCCTCCCTCTCTTCCCTTCATCCCTTGCTCCCCTCTCTCCCCCCTTCCCTCCCTCCCTCTCCTTCCTTCATCCCTCCCTCCTCTTCCTCCCTCTCTTCCCTCCATTTCTCTCTTCTTCTCTCCTCCCTTCCTTCCTCCTTTCCTCTTCCCTCTCCTTCCTCTCCTCCTTCCCTCTGCCTGCCCAGTGCCTGTCAGGCTGTGTGGACTTTGTGGTATAGGCTCTGGGTCTGAGGCAGCCAGACAGTAATGTGTCCCCTCTCTGCCACGCAGGTGTCCTGTACCCGGCTGCGACGGCCAGGGCCACATCACAGGAAAATACGCCTCGCACCGCAGCGCCTCGGGGTGCCCCTTGGCCGCCAAGAGGCAGAAGGATGGGTACCTCAATGGCTCCCAGTTCTCGTGGAAGTCAGTCAAGACGGAAGGCATGTCCTGCCCCACGCCAGGATGTGACGGGTCGGGGCACGTCAGTGGCAGCTTCCTCACGCACCGGAGGTGAGTACTTACATCCTCCGCTGGGCTGGGAGATCTGTCATGTGGCTGGCTGGGATGGGAGCAGGTGCCAGCTCTTCCTTCATCACCCCAGTTTAGGAAGAAATGGCTGAAAACTGTCGTAGCAAACTGACAAACTCGGAGGTCTGGGGAGAGAGGGAGCAATTTAAATCTGTTTGAAGAGCACCCTCCTTAAGCCCATCTATGGGCATTTTCAATGTTTTTAATCAGTATTTACATTGAGAAATAGATTGTAATTTTGAACACACAGTATTTACATTGAGAAATAGATTGTAATTTTGAACACACAGACACACTTAGCATTCTCTAGAATCATTTATGTTCAGGCCCCACTTGGAGAAAGAGGGCAGCGTTTGCTGCTGTGGACGCGTGGTGAGTGTGCCAAAGACACATGAGAAAATCTCCCAAATATCCAACCAGCTGCATTCGTTTTTATTTGCTTAATTTAGAAGGAAATGCATGCTAGTATATTGTCCCAGGCGAGCCTGTTCCATGGACTGGACAGGACGGGCTGAGGCGGGGCCTCTCTGAGGCCAGCGGAGCCTGCAGGACCAAGAATGCTGCCCGCAGGAGCAGGCGGCATTCGTGACCTCTGAGAACTGGGCGTTCCCTGCACGGGGCTCACACCAGCACTTCTGATCTATCTATGGAGCCATCTCCAACTCAGCGAGTAGAATGGGAAAGTGGTGTGTTCAGGGCATGTGTCGTTGAGCCTTACCAACTACTAAGGAATATTATTTAATTATTAAAGAAATCCTGCTCAGGTAGGAAATTTGAACAATATAACTGGGTTTAAAGGGAAAAATCCAGCATACTTTCCCTGACCTGGCCTCTCTACCCTGTTTCCAAAGGCAGGTGGCTTGTCTGGACAAAAAGCTCATACCACGATCCCAGGTACCCACACACACACACACACACACACACACGTACCTGGCACCACCAGCCCCCTGCCACACAGGCAGACCCTGGGTCTCTAGACCCCAAGGACCAGCAGGTAGGTATGTCTGTGCTCCTGGGTGGACCTCCCTCTACAAACAGGCTGCAACGTCCTTCAAAGTTAACCCCCAGCTGTGCCACCTCCATCCCCATTCTGGGTCTGCATGTCTCAGAGGACCTCACGTAAACGTCCTCTGCCCACAGGGGTGTGGCCTGTGCAGCCACATCTTCAGGGTATAGTCTGGAAGCAAAAATGCTTGTTTTCAAATTTTGACAGATAGTGCCAAATGCCCTCCCAAAAGTTCCACTTCCCCAGATCATAGGCCACTAATGAAATTTATTAAAACTTTAAAAACCTCTCTCACCTATATGACAAATAAGTAAGGACATTCCCTCCGGGAACCACTGAAGTCCAGGTGCTGGAGGATGGTGTCTTAGAAAACCAAGGCCCCCTGGACCTTTGTGCCCAGAGGAGCTCTCCTCTGGGTTAGGTTGTGTCCACTTGACTTTAAGGGCAGGTGCCAGGTGCTGCGCCTGCTGTTCCTGTCCCCTCAGCTCTGGCTGAGTTGGCATGTTGGGGTCAAGAGAAAACCACCTATGGGCATAGAGTGCGATGGGTGTGAGCCCAGGAGCAGGAGGTGGAGAGCAGGCCGTCCCTTGCAGCCCCTCCTGGATGCTGGCTGGCACCCTTGGGCTCTCACCTACACCTCTGCTGCCTGCTAGCCTCACCTTGTTTTCTCTTCCATAAGGGGCACCTGCCAGGCTCTAGCAGAGCACAGGGTCACAGGGTCTGCTCAGATGCATGAAGCAGTCTCAGCAAGCCGCAGGCCGTATTCAGTGAGCAAAACCACAGCATGCAGGCTCATCTTATCCAGAATCTGCACACTCTGCCCCTGCTGGTTGCCCACCCTCGCCCAGGCCTTGGCAGACCCCTCTGGAGGGCCCTGGGCCTCTGGAGGCCACAGAAGTCCAAGGCCTGCCCTGCAGCCTGCCCAGCCTGGCCCCACATGTGAGATGTAAGGAGGGTGCTGATGTACCAGCCTCGACCCCACTTCCCACGGGTTCCTGCCTTGCGCCAGTAGAGCACTGTGGAGCAGCTGAATCTGTTTTGCTTAGAGGCTCTCTGAGAGGTAAAGGGACATTGAGGTGGAGGGACAAGTGTTCTGGACACACTGGTGCAGCGTGACAGCTTGGGTTGGAAGGCACGTGGGTGAGGGAAATGGACAGACCTGAGCATCGCGGGCCTGCATTTTGTTTAGTTTTGCTTTTATAATTGTGGTAAAATATTCACGACATAAAATTTACCATCTTAAACATTTTTAAGTTAGGCAGTGTCAGGTATGTGATGGTCCCCAGCTGAACTTTCCGATTTTACAACGGTGCATAGCAGCACACAGTGGGACTGCACTGGAGACCTCACACACCACTGTGCTCACCTCGGGCACACGAGGCAGGAAGTGACCTGAGTACTCCACACTTTATTGTAAAGCAGGTTTTGTGTTAGATGATTTTGCTCAACTTCGGCTAAGGTAAGCGTTCTGAGCATGCCGGGGGGAGCTGGGTGCGTGGTGGAAGTATCTGATGCATTCCCAAACTCAGGTGGGCTAACAGGGACCTGCCCCTCCAGCAGCAGGGGAGCGTCTGCGCTAACATTGCCAGGAGGCAGTGCTCTGAGCATTTTCCTTGTCCTGCGTTGAGATTCCATCTCCATTAGACAACACCCCCTTCTCACACCCACCCTGCCACCCACCACTCCACTTGCGGTCGCTGTGAGTTTGACTATGCCGGGCACCTCCCATAAGTACAATCACATTGTGGTTGTGGGCTGATTTCTCTTAACACAGTGTCCTCAAAGTCCATTCACGTGTCAGAATTTCCTTCCTTTCTAAGCCCAAACAATATCCCATTGTGTGCTGACCAAGGTGTCTGTCTGTTGAACAAGTTCCCTTTCATTTCATTATGTAGACAAAGTGCTCTCTTCGGGGCGGGTAGTAACGACATAGCTTATTACAGTCCCGAACACGTTTCCCTATCCTTGGAGGCCCCTGGCCTAGCCATGGTGCTGAGGCCAATGGGTGGTTTTCCCAAACCTTTACAGCCTGGGTGAGCAGGAGCCTCCCAAAAGGACAGTGCTGGTGTGTCACGTTCACAACACGGGCCTCTGTAAACCCCACACACTGAGAAAGCAAGCCTTTAGAATCAGGAGCAAAGACGAGGCTGAAACAGAAATCACCTGCTGTGTTTCTCACTCTCCTGAATCCTGATCTAGTTAGATACTGAAGGGCTGCTTTCAAGCAAGTGCTGACACCCAGGCATAGGTGCAGTTGGCCCTGCGCCTTGGACAGGGCCTAGGCGGGGGACTCTGTGCATCCATCCTCTCTGTGGGGAGTCACTTTCGTCTTGTTTCAGAGCAAGTTCTAGACTGGGCTATGTTCTTCATGCATTTAAGGATCAGGTGAGAGGTTTTTCCCCCGTCCTTGTTTCCTGAGCTACATCATGCCTATAAAAAGGAGAACTGATACGAAGGAAATGAGTCCTTTAATTTTAGGACTTACTGGATATTCTTTAAAAAATAGTTACAAGCAAAGGTCAGTCCTTTGTTACAAGAAAAGTTCAGTCCTTTAAAACCGCACACTTTCTCATATATATCAGGCAAATATTTCTACTGAGGCAGCACTGATATTCAAACAGTAAAAGAAAGACACTTTATGTCCTTAAGTACAGACAGTACATTGAAAAGCACATGTCCTTCATGAAAAATTCATTCCTGCTGTCTCCTGACTGGCTCAGAGTAAAGACCACACTACCAGGTCTTGTCCCCAAGAGGAAACATAGATCCACTTGTCATCACACATCAGAAGTCATAGCTGGGTCCCCACCATGACCAAGAAGCCTGTTACCATTCCAAGGACCAAGCCAGGCTCTGTGTGCATCAGCATGTGATGCCCATGAATTTCTGAATAGATGCAGCATTGTGAGTGGGACAGTGACTAGATGGAGTATTGTAAGTGTGAGGGAACTAGATGGAGTATTGTGAATGTGAGGAGACCAGATGGAGTACTGTGAGTGTGAGGTGACTAGATGGAGTATTGTGAATGTGAGGAGACCAGATGGAGTATTGTGAGTGTGAGGAGACCAGAGTATTGTCAGTGTGAAGTGGCTAGATGGAGTATTATGAATGTGAGATTACCAGATGGAGTATTGTGAATGTGAG